AGCCTTAATAAACGGCAACAGATCCTGTATAGCTAAGTGCCCTTGGACGAAATGTCAAACAGTATCTTTGAATTGGAACCAATAAAGAAACCAGTCCCTATCTGCCATTTCAGTATTTCTGCATTAATAGAGAGAGAGAGCCTTTATTATCCCCTAGGAGCTATAAATCCTGACAGCTGTATCTTAGGGGAAGTGTGCTGGTCTGCTGTGATGCAGCGATGTGAGGTTATGTGGTCTACAAGAACAGTTTGAGAACAGTGTTATTCCTGCTAATGTATGTTCATCAAGAAAAGACAATCCTGGAACAGACTTGATGCATTACAGAGCTTACACATTACACAGCTGAAACTGTGAAACACACAGACATTTTCCCTTAACTGGGGCAGAGTGACACCAGCAGCCCAGAGGCAGCTACTGAAATCAAGGTCATGCGGTTCAGAAGCAGGAGTCTCTAACACGATTATCGATTTTTAATCACACATCAGCACCACCTGGAATCGTCCTGAGTCACAGGGGTCAGGGGTCGTGGAAGTTCCACCGGGAGCTGAGACCGCCCAGGAAAACTAAGCCCAGCCTCCCCACCCCCCCAGACAGTGACAGAGAAATACTCAGAGATTAGACACACATTCCTCTCACCAGTAACAAATCTAACCCCACACCTACCAGAATCAGGACAGCTTCTAGTCCCACTGCGGGAGGGTGGAGGAAACCCCATATAACCACAGACAAAAGAGAGCAAGGAGAAAAAACAACTGCTTCTCCGAGCGGAGACTGTTGCTATTTTAGGAATTTAACTGAGAAACTGGGATAAAGCTCTCTATCGGTTTAGAAACTGTGGCAGAGGACACATTGCTGCGTTGCTGGTGTTGGGACTATAGGCAATTAAGAAAGAGTGTCCTGTGTTTTCTGCATCAGGTTTGTTTGACTTCTGAACCAGCTGTCCTGTGGAGGACCTGCTGAAAATGCCCGCCCCCGGTCATCTTCATATCAGTGACCAGGGGCGCACGCAGCCGAGTCTCCGGGGGTCTCCGCCCCTCTCTGCCAGACCCCCGGCAGCGGCGGCCTGCAACTGACCTGGTCAGCAGGAACACGTCCAGCAGCGACGCTCCCGTGGTCAGGCTGTACCAGGCCGTGCCCAGCCACCAGTACAGCATCGCCAGAGCTCGGCCTGAGGGGCGCAGAGAGCAAGAGGGATTCAGACAGGCTGGAATGAGAAGACGTCCGAGTCTCAGTCCAGCCGCCGCTGGACAGATCTGATGATGATTCTGGCGACGACGGGAGGGTCAATTCACAGCTACAGGCACGACAGAACGGGTTTCTTTACGGTCAACTACCATTTAGGGAGGATTCTGACTTAGAGGCATTCAGTCAGGCATCTAAGTCACCAGCTGAGATCCGCAGATGGCTCCTCGGCCAGGCACAGACACCACACGCGGCTCCCCCTCTCGTACTGGGCAGGAGCCCCGCGGCAAACCCAGCCGCTGGTGGAGGGAAGCGGCGACCCCGACAAACAGAGGAGCGCGTGCCGTTCCGAGCCCCGGCGGTCGTACGGCGGGATTACCTGGCGACAGGAGGAGATCCTTGACCCCCAGCTGCGGCTCGGTGTCCGGGTGGGGCTGGGCTGGGCCTGAGACGACACAACACAACACGGCGTCAGGCACGGCCCCGATACCGGCTCTGCACGCCGGCCGCACGGCGGGAGAGCGCGTCATAGAGCAGGGGGGCTATACCGATACATCCCTGTGGCGCTACAGGACAGCTCGTCCGGTCTGCGGCCGGGCTGTAGTAGTGATGGCGCCGGCCTGTGTGCCGGCACTCCCTCGCCCTCTCATCACGAAGGTGGTTCCACGTGACGGACGGCTCTCTCCTACACTGTTACTCTACGCCCGGTCAAGAGGGCCTGGGAGCCTGCTGGCTTACCGCAGCAGCCCTCCTCCGAGGACGAGTAGCCCGAGGAGTTCCCGTGCCCGTCGGCAGCCGAGAAGCGGGAGCTGAAGCCGGGCTGGCTGTCGGGGCCGGGCGAGGAGAACTTGCTGCGAGAGCTCGCCCTGCTACTGCTGCTGAGAGCCCGCAGGCTGGGAGCAATGCCTGAGACAGGAGGAGCACAGGGGGAGAGAGAGGAGGGGAGAGGGTTGGAAAGGTGGACAGGGAGAGAGGAGGGGAGAGGGTTGGAAAGGAGGACAGGGAGAGAGGAGGGGAGAGGGAGGGAGAGAGGACAGAGGGAGGGACAGAGAGGACAGAGGACAGGGAGAGAGGAGAGGAGAGGTAGGGAGAGGAGGACAGGAAGAGAGGACAGAGGAAGGGACACAGAGGAGGGGAGAGGGAGAGAAGTGAGCAGAAAGAGGGAGAGGGGAGAGAAGAGGAAGGGGTGCAGGAGGGAGAAAGGAGAGAGGTGGGCAGTGGGGGAAAGGGAAGAAAAGGAGGGAGAGAGAGCAGGTAGCAAAGAGGGTGACGAGGATTGAGAGATGAGAAAGACATAGGGAGAGGGAGAAAGGGGGATAAAGACACAACAAGAGAGAGAAAGTTATCTCCCTGACTATCTCCTACTCCAGCTCAATAAACAACATCAACACTATGATCACCATCAGGCACGGCCACACCCACCCCAGTACTCCTCGGCCCTGATTGGCTCCTCGCTTGCGTAGCTGCCCAGCGATTCGCTGGAGGCATTCTCATGGGCGAGGCAGCAGGAGGAACTGACCTGGCGCCGGCCGGCAACCTTCTTCTTAAAGATCCTGCGACAGAGGGCAGACACACGGGTCAGACGGAGGGGGGAGCCGTGCAGAACAGAGAGATTCGGGCCCAGAGCGGCGGGAGAGACAGACAGAGACGGACAGAGACGGACAGAGACGGACAGAGACGGACAGAGACTCGAAGTGGCCGTCCAGGAGAGGACGCAAGCCGCGGGAGGCTGGGGGAGACCCGGGGGACAGGCGGGTACCTGACAGGACTCTCTCGGTAGGAGATCTGGCCGCCGTTCACGGAGCCGGTGGAGCTGGTGCTGGCCCCATCGTCCTCGGGCTGGTAGTACCCCCCGTCCACCAAGCGCCGACTGCGCCTGTTCATCCCTGCGGGGAGAGGGGCCCCGTGTTACCGAGGGACACGCAGGGAGGGCAGTGGCCAGACCCCAGCAGCTCACACAGTGATCAGTGCAGTGCTGGGTATGCAGCCTCGAACATGCCACTGGGCTATATCACCACACAAGATGCACAGGACCAACTAACCTAAACCTAAACCAGGAGGATTGTTTTTCACTTAATTCGTAAAAAAAAACAGACTGAAGCCCGAGTAAGTTTCCCCGCTTTCCCGCGGACACACAGCAAGAGCAGGGATAAGAACCGGAGGATGTCTCTTCTCCTCCCGGGCGACGCTGGCGCTGAATTACTGCGCGTGCCGGTGCCTTAGCTCCGTCGCGCGCACGCCCGGGTGCCAGCTGCAGCGAGGCACACCTTTGCCACACCAGCCCCGCTCCCTGTCGCCAGGACGGGGAACGATCCGGAGTCACTGGAGAGGCTGGTGGCCTCCTACTCTCGAAACCCACCCCCCCTAACAGCTCGAAAACCTCTCTAGGGTTAAGTAAAAGGTCTGGTCAACCAAACAAGAGAAGTTTAACACACAGCATTCACGCCCTTCAGAAATTAGTTCACGCCACGACATGTGGTTTAACTGGGCGTCATTCTCCCCCCCTGCATCCACCAATAAACCTGTAAAAAAAAATTCACACCCTCAAAAACGCCACACTGTACGCATGGAGATGCTTGCTTTTTGTTTTCTTAATCCTCCCTATCGGAAATGCACAAAATACAAGCGAGCGAGTGGCAGGGTTGGGTATGTGCCGAAAACCCAAGAGCTCTTGCACACTCCTCTACAGCTGGGCAGAGGGGGGGGGGGGCAGGGGGGCTACTATTGCTTTTGCCCCTGCAGAAGACGGGCAAACAGATACAGGTGGGCAAGTTCGCAACATAAGTAA